TGCAAGAGGGCATCAGAGGAGGGAGGGAAGAAAGGAAAGAAGGACAGAGGCCATGTTGCCCGTGGCACCCCTGACCATCATTCAAGGCACCCTAGGGTTCCATGGCACACTGGTTGAAAACCACTGCCATAGGACAAGGTAGAGAGGCAGGCCAATAGCTACAGAACCATGGACAGCTCCAGATAATGGAGCTTAGGACTGACCTGGACATTTTTATGTCTTCGGGAACAGATCACACCTCTCAAGTACCACCCCTTCCTTGAGGAGAGGAAGGCTTTAAAGGCACAGGCCTCTGGTTTGGGGCCTACTACTCCTTTTCCTCCTCTTGAACAATTCCTTCCAGGCTTGTTGCTGGTGTTGATGGGTTGTCTTGGGGCTGTAAGCACTGGAATGGAGGGGGTTGGTTCCCCAGTTGGTGTAGACTCTAAGGGTGTGGACTCTGGAGGTCCCACAGTTCAAGAGCCTCAGGCTGAAGAGCCCTAATCTGGTGGGTTCTGTCTAGTCCTGATCATGTTGCTGGGATTCTCAAGAAACCCAAATGTATGATGCTACTTCCAGTGCCACGGGTCTGATGGGTCTAGCCAGCTTTTGCCTCAGAGTCAGAGCCCAGACTTCTGCTCAGTGTGGGGGTCTCTCTCCCCCCCCCAATACATTTTTATTAAATTTCTTTATCACAACGGGGGGGGGGGGTCTCATGGCTGTGATACTCACACACAGTTATTTGCCTAATTGTGAAGGCCTGAAAGAGGGCTTCTGTATGAGGCATGCTTAGTCAGGACAATGTGTGTGCTTGTCATGCTCTGTGGAATGTTATATTTTGGTTTCCTGAGAATTCCAGCTTCCAGAGAGAGAGAGAGAGGAGAGAGGGGAGAGAGAGAGCTGATCTAAGCAGAACTGAGCACATGTTAAGTTGCATTTATTTAAATGGGAAAGTGAAACACATGCATACCTGTCTCATATTAAAATCAACCAGGATTAAAAGTACTACTTTTTGGCTGGAGGAAATTTTCTAACCCTCATCACTGAAGAGAGCCAAAATTGAGAATATGTCAGTGGTGTCTGCTCCAGGCACAGAATGAAGTAGCCACTGACTACAGCTTTTCATAGCTTTCGGTGCTGACACAGATCCCTGAATGCATTCTCTCTCTTCTTTTTTTAATGGATTCTCATTTTCATTGCTTTTCACACATGCATCACTTATTCTTTCCTTCCATAGGATTAGGGCTCTACAAGCTCATGCAACAACAACAACAAAAACAACAACAACAACAACTGCCCCCATATTGTTACCAAGTTATCTAAGTATGCATAACTAGTGACCTCTAAATGTAGTCCATGCACCAGTAATGAAGAATATGGTTGTCTGGTACAGAACTCCGGTCCATTACCTGTAGGGTACCCACACTGATGAGTCAGAAAAAAAGCTTGAGCCATTTCTGAGCAGTGCTTTGTTTTTAAAGGGTTTTTAAAGAGTGGACCTCCTAGTAGATCAGGTGCTGCTTTAAGAAACTAAAATAGCATCTCACAGAGGACAAAGAAGATATCCCCACCCCCATCATTGTCCTCTGTTTATCGCTGTCCTTGTCTAATTATAATAGACAGACTCCACGTTGTAGAAACGCATCCACAACATCTGGAATGCTCATATGTTGAGGTTAATGGAGGTTAAGGAGTCTGAAGAGCAGAGACGTTCAGTGTGGCCTCAAATTAAGCTTGACCTGGATAAGAGCCATCCTCATCCCGTTTGAGACAAATGCCGTTGTCACCATCACCCTCCTCTCAGGCTTGGGGAGCAAATGCGGCCCTCCAGGCCTCTCTGTCTGGCTCTTGAAGTCCCCCAAGGCCACCCCTTTCACTGACTGCACTTTGATCCTTGATGGTTTTTGCCTGGCTGGAATGTGTCCTTGAACTCTGAAGGTGCCACTGGCTTGTTGGAATAGAGGGGTGGGTGGAACATGATGCAAAAGTAGCATTTGCATTCATTGCTCCACCCATTTTCCATCTAACTGTGCCCATTGCCGCTATGTTACTCTCAGAAGGTTGCAGTTCTCTCCAGGTAGCAGTTCCTAAGGCAGTTCCAAGTGCCACTGCCTGTCAGAGCACACAACCCTGGTATATATGGACAAATAATTTTGAGCTGCTTTAAAGGAGGTCTCATGGGCCTCTCAGGTAGAACTCCAAAGGAAGTGCCAGAGCTGGCTGTGAAAAGTGAGCCCTGCTCTAACCAATTTAATTCTTCCTGCTCTGCTTTTTCTTCCTCTAAATTATTGCCTTCTCCAATCTGGTGTCCTCCATGTGTCATTGGAATATAGCTCCCATCATTCCTGACCATTGGCCATGCAGGCTGAGGCTGATGGGAGTTGGAGTCCAAGATATGTGGTTGGTAAAGGCTGGTGTTAATTGTTCTTACTACCAAGTTCAGGGAACTAAATCCCACTGTCTTCTGCTGCAAGTTAAAATAATTTACAATCATCCAGTGGTTCAGCATTGAGGATATGCGCCATTTTGGTCCCACTTAAGGGCTAAGTGAGCCATTAAACATTTGCAATTTGCCTCCATCAATGATAAATTCCATTCAGCATCAGTCTGTGCATTCTTTTGTTGGGTCAGGAATACACCAGAGTGCTTGTTGGTGTTGACATTCTAGTAAAATTTTTTAAAGACCTGGCCTTTTGCATGAACTCCAAGCACAGCATCTTACACAGAGTAGCGCAGACCAAAAATAGTAACAGTGGTAAAATAAATAAATTAAGTAAAATTATATTTTCGGAGCCACCTTTGCCCGTCATACAGTTCCTGCAGCAAAAGAGCAACTTTGTATGCTGAGGCAGTTTCATATGTTTGCACAGAACGTTTTTTAAATGTGCTGCAGTGTTAGTGCTAAAAAGGTAATGGGAGAAGGATCCTTTATGATTGGCAAAGTAGCTTTTAAGACACAGACCAAGCCACAGGAAGACTGTGTAGGCAGCAACTGCTTTCTAAAGCCCTTCACTGTAATTTTCCTTAAAAGATGTAACATTTCATTCTGCAGCGCTTCCTTGGTTACAGTTAAAAACCTGTAAAGGACTACCCACCAACAAACTAGATTTTAAAGCTGTGGCTATCTTGGGAGCTGACTTTTATTCTTAAAATAAAAGCCATCCTTGTTGTTACCTGTGTAACTGGAACAATAAACTGGAAGTCTGCAATGTTCATCCTTTCAGTTATATAGGGCTGTGTGTTTTCTTATAGTGTTTTTATCTGTGTGGTTTCAAGTATATAATGTGCTCTGTGGATATAGACACTTCCATACAGACTGGTTGCCTGCAGTGGGTTTTGAGGTTGCAGAATTTAAAGGGGTTTATTTATAGAAGTGAGCCAGAGTGGTGTATTGGCTAGAGACTGTCAGATTTAGGGCCAGGAGGACCTGGGTTCAAATCCCATTTGTATATATGTTGGCAATTTTTAAAAACAAATCCTCCTGAAAATTTGTAATAATATTGGTGAGCAGTCCCCCCCCCCGAATACATGCATGTTTTCTGCCATTTTTCTTAGAGTAAGCACTTTCACAAGCAATTTTCCCACAACAGAATGCATTTTTCTGCATTATTTTCACTAGTACATGCGTTTTTGTGTGTACTTTTCACTAATTTATGCACTTCTGTATGCATGAGTGCAAAATTCACAGGAGTGAAAATGTCCAAGGGGAGCTGCATTTCAGTTTATGTTTTGCTTTGAGAAGTCCACATTTGGTAGTTCTGCATTAAACTACAAACTGGACAAACAGCTCCCTTGCAAGTAACTCAAGCTGATGCACATGGTTCTCCCCGCTCCTCATTTAATCCCCACGACAACCTTGTGAGGTAGGTTAGGCTGAGAGGAAGCCACTGACCCAAGGTTTCCCAGTGAGCTTCATGTGACTGATTGGGGATTTGAACCCTGGCCTTCCAGGTCCTAGTCCAACACTCCAACCACAATACCACACCGGCTCTTGTCAACTTGGGTCTTTTTTGTCAGGGCCTTGGTAGAAGATGTAAGCCGCAGGACCAGCAAACTGTACAGTCCCTCCTGGCAGAATAACTTGGCAGCTGATGCCTCCACCTAGCTGGAGGAGGATGCATTCGAGACGGTGTCAAAACAAAACTGAGAGGAACATTTCTGAGCAGCGAGGACTCTGTCGGCAAGCGTTATGTCACTGTCACAGACTGATAAAGTTCCACTAGAAAGGCTTCTGACAGCTTTTAAACTAAAACAAGGGCTGAGGGCAACGCAGGAGGGAGGAGGAGAGGTGTGGATCATTATATCATGTAGAGCCTCAGGCTGTGCACTTAGACGTCCAACGCTGTTTTTTCCTCTTGCCTATCAAGGACAGGTTGTCCAGTTGAGTAACAAGATTGCGGCAGTATGTGTCACATCCCCGCAAGCGTGTGAGACAGCTAGTACAAACTCCACGAGAAGGCTCTAGCAGCCCTGATTCGCAAAGTCATGTCCTGATTTCCCTAGAAAAGAAGTGAAGGGCTGAGGCTTTCCCTGGTGGCTCATACAGGCTGAATGAATAAACTCCTGGGAACCTCCTGCCAGAAGGACTCCGGAGGACCTCATTTACCTGTGAACTAAGCAGTGCCCATAGCAGCCAATGGGGCAGCACAGGTGGGGTGGCATCGCTCCCTTGGCTTCCCAACAGTGTGCATCACTGCTGGTTACCGAGGGGAAGGGATGAGATGGTGCAGAACTTGGCACCATTCAGGCGCAGGAGGTTTAGATTGGCTCCCCTGCCACACTGAGCTCTTCATCACATCTCCCAACATTGGTGCTTGAAGTTGGAATGCCAGGTGAGCAATGCCAGTCTGCTAGTGCCACCCTGCCAACTGCAACCAAACAGTGCTGGATCCAAGTTTTGTTGGGTTCTTGGGTGAGACACTCTCCCTGGGCTCCCCTCCTTCAGTGAGTCTACCTCCTCATCACCATTGCTGTTTATAAAATTTATATTTCTGGGTCATAGGACCCCAGGGTAGGTTATAGCAATAGCTCAGTCAGTAGAGGATGAGACTCTTAATCTCAGGGCCACGGGTTCAAGCAAAAGATTCCTGCATTGCAGGGAGTTGGACTAGATGAAGTTCATGGTCCCTTCCAACTCTACAATTCTATAATTCTATGAAAGCACATTAAAACAATCAGTAGACACTAAACCACAGTGACATTTCTTTAAGTTAGATAAAATATGTGCAATCTGTCCATTCTTACTAGACAGGTCATGTTTGGTGCTATGTCTAGATTGATCCTTATAGTGGCCCAATTTTCAGGTTACATTAAACCATAGTTTAAAATGCAAATGAGCAGCACGCCTGTGTACAAAAGTTGCAGGGGCACTGCTTGGTCATATGAAAACATAGTTTGTTTTAAACTATGGTTTAACATGGTGTGTGAAGCAGGCCAGCAAATGGTTTGAATGCTAAAACTCTCAATCTTTCTAATGACTGAACCTTGAAATCTACCAGGAACTGTAGTTTATTTTGTAACTGAAGCTAACTGCACAGGCCATTTTCTATCAAATGGTCTCGTGGAAATTGCCATGAAATTGCTGAAGCAAGTGATTTGCAGTGCAAGAGGCTGAAATAACTTTTTGAGAACAGTGTCAGCAAAGTCCAATTAAGTTCACGCAGCTTCTGATCAGACTTTTCTATGTTCCCTTTCACTTTGTTCGGGAAAATGATAATAATGACTGTAGCTACCTGTTCATTTGATAACATTGCCTGGATTTTAGAAAGTGGACGCTAAAATGATTTGGTATGAAATAGTCAAAATTATCTTCCCTGTATGCCTGTGAATGGAGTGCAAAGGCCAGGAGATTAAAATCGAAGCGAGAGTGTCTGGCATTATCTCTTATAGTTTACATCATCATTGAAGCTTTTTGGCTCCTGGGAGTTATAAAAGAAACACTGACATTTCCTGTTTTTAAAAAGGGGTAGAGTAGGAAGCTTTTCAGCCCAGATAAATTACTCCTTTGCGATGTAAGCACTGTGGATAATAACCACATTTCCTGTGTAATGTGACCTACCTTCTGGGTTTTCTTTTCCGGGGAGTGTTATTATTGCTGCTATTTATTCAGTACATTTATTCACTAAATATGCATTCAGAGTGTTGGGGGCTTGACTGCAGTGATATTTGATTTAAATTCAAAGACTAAATGGTAAGGGCTTCAAAATGCAAACGAAAAAATAAATGCGCAAAAATCCTTTCCACGCCAAGGGCTAAGCATATTTACCGAGCCGCACACTTGCCGGTGCTCAGTGAAGTGAATGAAAACCGTGAACTGCTCGGTGTGGTTCTTATTGTTATGGCAACGTAGACATCATGGAGCTGGGGTTACATCTGCCTAGCTCTTATTTTCAAGACTGGTTCAGTTCAGTGGCAGCGGAACCACAGCTCATCAGGAGTCATGTTAGGAGTTTAGGTAAGCAAAAGGTTTGGAGTCCAGGAGGGTTGCTTTATCTTCGGATGTCGTTGCAATAGGCCAACACTAGCAAGGTAATGCAGGTACTTACATTTGCCATGGGACTACGATCCAGGTTATCTTCCATCAAAGATGTCAAGTACTACCTTTGGCTGATGTTTAGTGAGTGATCTTGCATTGGCTCCTTCCCTTGCATATATAGCCTTGTTTCTCAGTTGACTGCTTTGGCTAGGCTACCCTTCTTCCAGCCCAACCATCAAGCCTTCTGTGGCCACCTAATGGGTAGCATGTAGCCACACATTCCTCAGGAAGCGTGGTTCCTGATAAATAATAATAATAATAATAATAATAATAATAATAATAATAAATGCACCAAAAAATCAGAGTGCTAAAATGCTTGAGAAGCATTCACAGGTACAGGAAGCTCTCCACTTCAGACTTTCAGCTTCCATAAACTGGAAGGTGATAAGAACAGTGTCGGGTTAGAAACAGCACTCTCCTGCCTCACACGATCATATTAACTGAGATTGGAATGCCTGGAGAGAACTTCTGATGTTGGCGTATCATATTGTGTAGAGGGCAGTTGTTCAGATTTTGTGTATATATTGGAGTATCAGGGCTCAGAACAGCTTTGTGGCATGTGTAATTTGTTGGCCCTCAAAGGAGAACCCCTGGCATGCAAGCAGTGTCTCTGTGTGTGTTATGTTTGTATGTATTAGTGATGGCTTTTATCAGTCAGTTTGAAAGAACTTGCCAAAAGTGTTGGGTGTCTTTTTAGAAAATAAGGTCCCTTTCACAAAATGGCACTCAACCACCCTACATTTCCTGAGCCGCCAAAACTACTAATCGCTTGTGGAATGATTCTAGTGTTGACTCATGGGGCCGCTACAAACCCTTTTGTTTCTTACCATCCTTGTACATGATGTTACTTCTGAGCCTCTACATCTTTGCATTCTCTATCCAGCCACCTTGTCTGCCCTTAGCTGCCAAGATTTTAAAAGCCTCCATAAAACTCAAACACGATTGACGCATCTGAATTCTAACAGGTTTATACATCCTTGTGTATTTGGGAGTGGGGAGGTGTTGAGGAAGTTTATGGTTTGGTTTTATGTGGAGACTTGAGGGGAGTGCCCTTCGCACCAGCTTCTGCTAGTCATCTGCAGTAATATTGTTTCTGCTGGAAGCTTCAGAGGACCCACTGGCTGCCTGATGGTAGCCATGTTGCTGTGGGAGGCAGTCAGGAGTACATTTACCTACTTTCCACTGCATTTAGAGGCAATTTCCAATAGGAGCCCATGAGACTAAAGTCCATAGTGGCTGCTGATGCCCCTTGGGACTGGTAGGGTGGAAGGCAGGGAGAACTACAGTAGGAGATGTCAGAGCCACCTAATTCTACTTTCCTGTCCTCCTTCCTGCTGAGTTCTACAAGGGCAGCCCCAAGATTAAGGTGGGAAGTGCCGATAAGCACTGCCACCCCTAGGACTGGTAAGAAGGCAGGCAGGCAGGTGGGTGGGAGCTAGCCAGAGAGAGACTGAGTTTGGGCAAGGGGCGGTACCCATCTTCCAAAATGAACCAGCCCTCCACTGGTGCTTCCAAGTGGGCTTGTGGGCTCGATGCTGCTCACGGTGGCAGCGGCAATAGAAATGGGGTGGTATTTTGGTGAGGATGGTGTCATGTAGACTTGGGGGGAGGGACTTGCATGCATGAGCAGCGTTGAGTTTGCCATAAGCTGCCATGAGGAAATACCTGAATACAGTCATCTTCCCCATATCATAAGCATGCAAGACATGTACTGGTCAAAGATTGTCTGGAAAGGCCTTCAGTAGCCCAAATTCGAAGGGTGGAACAACTATGGACCATATTCATTCATTCATTTATAAGATTTCCTACCCATCCTTTGCCATAAGGATCCAGGGTGAGTGTGGGTAGAAACAAGCCCCCCCCCCCCGAACAAAGGCTAAATTAGCATTCACTGCTCCACCCACTTGCGCTTCCTGCCACACCTGCCACTGCCATGTGGCCCCTGGAATGTTGCATAGAAATGAAAGTGGCCCTTGGGCTGTAGAAGGTTCCTCACCCTTTCTGTAAGCGAACAGATGTTTGGAGTGCTGGCTGCCTCCCTAGAGCTCTGAAGAGCGAACAGAATGTATCTATCAGGAAAGCTAAGTATTTGGAAATTAAGAATATGGTGGCATAAGTTTTCTTTTAATAACTTATGGATTTATGGATGTTTGTATGTTCTTCCTTTTTTATTATTTTCCTATTTTTTAATTTTTTTGTGTGTGTGTCTGTTATTTGTTAGTAAGAAATGGAACAATTTGTAAAATGTAAGAAAACTAATAAAAAGGATTGGGGGAAAAAATCAACCTCCACCAGACTGTACTGTATGTTGGTTTAAGCTATGCCTCCACCTGTACTCACCCTCTCTAAGCAGCAAAGTGGAGCATTGGCAGGTTTAAACCATTCAGGTAAATCCAGGACAGTACTGTTGAAATTGCCTTCTGTCTGTGGAGCAAGTCACGGGCAACTGTGATCAATGAAACAGATTTCAATATATAGTTGGAGCCAATTAATGGAATAGGCAATGAACTGGAACCATTTTAAACCCAAGTGCTCCTTTGGGCTGGTTAAGATATGGAATAATGTATAATTCCAAAAAAATTTAAAAAATAAAATAAAAATGTGGTTGTGGGGGGTGCCTCTTCAGGAGCTCAGCACAGGTTGTGGACTTGCTAGCAAACTAATTATTAACTTTATCATTAAGTGCCAGATTCATTTTTCTCTTCTCTCTTCTGGAAACGATTCATTCCATGTCTGAGATAAAAGGAAAATCTGCTCTGGTTTTTAATGCAGTGTGTTTCTATGGCATACCTTCATGCGCTTAACACCTAATTTTGCTCTTTTAGCGGCATTGCATTACTTTTTTCTTTCCAGCTGCACAGAACTCTCTTTTGTCCCAACATAGACCGCAAAGTGCTCTTGGGTAAACTGAACCAATGCTTCCATCTCAGTGAGGCTTTCCCCTGAGCATTGTGCTGCTTCCCCCATGGGCAGGACCATAGGTCTGTGGTGGAACACAAACTTTGCATCCAGAAGGTCTCTGGGTTAATGCCTGACAGCCAAAAGGGTCAGGCAGGAGGTGATGGGAAAGGTGGGTCTGCAGCCTGAGACCATGAAGAGCTGCTGTCAATCATAGTAGACAATACAAGAGGGGAGAGTCATTGCACTTGGGTTCTTCCTGTAGGCATCCCATAGGCAGTTGGTTGGCCACAGTGAGAAGAGGATGGGGCCCGAATTGACCTTATCCAGTAGGGATCTTCTTATGATCTTAGATGGGGACATAGCCAGACCTGGTTGAAGCCATATTCCTATGTTCCCCTTCCTCTTCACAACCCCATTGGCCCCACAGGTGGTCTCTCCAAGGCCAAATTAGGGAGAAGGACCATAACTCAGTGGAAGAGCATCTGACTTGTATGAGGACAGCCCTAGGTATCTCCAGCTCTTAATGAGCTGCCTTCCTTGACTGCCATCCTTGCCACCAGCTACCAATGGCAAGATTCCAAGGGCTGTATACCAGTGGTGGGTGTGGCCACACACATGGGCAAGCTTTTGAGGGCCATATACCAGTGAGAGGTGTGGCCTA